AGAAGTGACAATTTAGTAAGAATAATAAATATAACATCTAAAACTTGGGTCCAAAACAACTGCACAAGAATAAATGAGAGAAGATATAGCTTCACAACAAATCTAACAGTAACAAAGAACTTACAAGTTTTAGTAACTATAAGCTCAACATTAGCAATGTTTGAAAGCTAATGCAGTCCTTGGGCTCTGATTATAATGTCCAGAATTTCTACTTCAAGATAGTAGGGCATAGGCATTTACTTCTCCTTCTTCCCAAAGGCCCATTAAAAACGACAGAAAAGGGGTGCCTGGGTGGCTCAGTCAGTTAAACAGCTGCCTTTGGCTCAGGTCATGATCCCAGGGTCCTGGGATCAAGCCCCACGTCAGGCTCCCCACTCAGCGGACAGCCTGCTTCTCCCTCTCCCTCTGCCTGCCGCTCTGCCTACTTGTGTTCTCTCTCTCTCTCTCTCTCTGTAAAATAAATAAATAAAATCTTTTAAAAATATGACAAAAAAAAACTAATGGAAAAAATTATAGCATCACTGGACAGCAGGAAGATGATATCACTGGACAAGAAATTATATTTTTTTAAAGATTTTATTTTTTGGGCACCTGGGTGGCTCAGTTGGTTAAGCGACTGCCTTCGGCTCAGGTCATGATCCTGGAGTCCCAGGATCGGGTCCCGCATCTGGCTCCCTGCTCAGCGGGGAGTCTGCTTCTCCCTCTGACCCTCCCCCCTCTCATGTGCTCTCTCTCTCTCTCATTCTTGCTCTCTCAAGTAAGTAAATAAAATCTTTAAAAAAAAAAAGATTATATTTTTAAGTAATCTCCACACCCAACATGGCACCTGAACTCACAACCTTGAGATCAAGAGTCACATACCCTACCAACTGAACCTGCCAGGCACCCAAGAAATTTTAAATACCTTGAAATTAGCAAATATAGGAATAAGGTAAAATAAGAACATCAAAAAACCCACAGTCTTCCTGAGTGTCCCAGAGAAGTTCCAAATTCCAACCCAATAAACACTGTTACCCTGTACCTAGCACTTTTTATGTATTATTTCATTTAATCCTCATAATTATTTTGAAAATAGGTATTATATGACCATTTCTCAGATAAGGAGGCTGAGGTTTAGACAAGTTATATAATCACACAGCTTTTAAATGGTGAAGCCAGGAATTGAACCCATTTAGTGTGAATCTGGATTCTGCTTTCGGTTATTATGGAGATACAGGCCAAAGGGCACTCCATTAGAGTAATCATTAAAATACTATACTAAATTCAGCTGCTACTGGGGGCCCTGGCTAGCTCAGCTGGAAGAGCATGCAACTCTTGATCTCAGGGTCATGAAGTCGAGACCCACATGGGATGTAGAGATTACTAAATAAATAAATAGAAACTTTAAATTCAGCTGGCACTATTTCCCTCAGGTAAGAATAGTAGCTCTCTTCTTTTGTCCTTGGATTAAACCTTGATAACTTCCTTCTACAAAATGAGTGAATATGTCTAGAGTGCCTAGGGGGCCTGAGAGAGGAAGAAAGATGCAAGAGTTAATCTCAGATCCTCACACACATATGGAAGAAGGAAAAATTTTTTAAGGAAAGGAAGATCCACATTAAATAAATACCACCACAGGGATGCCCGAATGGCTCAGTTAAGCGTCCAACTCTTGGTTTCAGCTCAGGCCATGATCTCAGGGTCATGAGATCAAGCCCCATGTTGGGCTCTTCACTCAGCACGGAGTCTGCTTGGGATTCTTTTCTCTTCCTCTCCCTTCCCCTCTGCCCTTCCCCCATCCCATTCATGCATCTGCACACCCTCTCTCTCTCTCTCAAATAAATAAATAAAATCTTTTTAATAAATAAATACTGGGGTACCTGGGTGGCTCAGTCGGTTAAGCGTCTGCCTTCGGCTCGGGTCATGATCTCAGGGTCCTGGGATCGAGCCCCCAAGTTGGGCTCCCTGCTTAGCAGGGAGTCTGCTTCTCCCTTCCCCTCTGCTCCTCCCCCTGCTCATGCTCTCTCTCTCATAAATAAATAAAATCTTTAAAAAATATAAATAAATAAATAAATAAATAAATTACTACCACAAGAAATGTTTCCTTTCTTTAGCAGCTGTGGGGTTTCCAGGCTGCTTGCTCCACGATTTTATCTCCTAAAGGGAACTTTGCCAGTAGGCACACTCTGCTCACAGAGTTCACAGTCAATCATCCCATTCAAGGAAGGTATCTGTCTTATAAAGTAGTGAGGGAATCTAGCGTGGTGGTTCGGAATATGAACTCTGAAGTTAGCCTGCCTGGGTCCAAATATGGGTTCTGTCATTTAATAGCCATGCAACTCTAGGGAAGTTACTATCTCCTTTCCTCTTTCCCCATCTGAAAAATAAGGATGATGACTTTATTTATCTTATATTAAGTTGTTGTGAAGATTAAGTGACATAATTTTCACTCAGTGTAGTACCTCAGGGAAAGAAGAAACTACAATGTATGTAAGTGCTCAGCAAAGGGCCCTGCACATGGTAACATGCAAGCAATTGCAGGTGTTAGTTATTAAGTACAGGACAGAGGGGAAAGGAGATAAATTAAATGACTGCTGAGAAATCTTCTAACCTTGAAAACCTATCAAATTCTTAAGAAAAAAAAATATAATTTCATCAAATAAGACAAAGCAAATTCCGAAACAGTGAAGTATTCACTGAAATCGGATCAATACTTGGTTTAAATTCACTCCTGAACCTCTGAAGTTATTTATTAACATCTTTATTTATGACTATTAGCCATAAGTTGCCCCCAGTAATATACATTAAATGTGTAAAATGAATTTGGATTTAGAGAATGAGGAGAGCTAACTTACTTCTAAGCAATTTTGATCAGTATCAACTAACAGATATAACAGAGGTACTCTCCTACCAGAATCCCGACCATAGACTGAGTTGTTTCAGTCCAGAAGTTCAAAAATGGAAACTTTCAAAAAGAGAACAATTTCCAAAGAACTCCCAAGAAGGAACAAAATATAACAGCTTCATGTCAACTGGAATCCTCAGGGCAATAACAGGACAAGGCACTGCAGGAAAAAGCCAGTCAGCTTAGAAGCCAGTGACAGCCCAGGTTAAGACATGGGTTGGGTTGGGAATTTATTCCAAACCTAAGCTAACCAAATTTATGGATTGATTATGGGTTCCACTATAAAAATCCTATCCATTTAGAGTTCCAAATTAACAATTTACTCAGAAACAACCTGAAGGCTCTAGAAATTAAGCCATCTGCCTAGGGGACTTCTTGTCCAGAACAATGTGAACCCAAAGCAGACCTTTTGGGGAAGCACCTAAGAAATCTTTATAACCTGATAACCTAAAAAAAAAATCAGAGATGGACTTTGCCAACCTCCATGGTCAGTGGAAAAAAGAAACTTTGGGCATGCTAAACAGAGCCAAATCTGAGATGCACATTACAAGAGTAACAAATACAAGAACTACACACCAACATGATCCTTACCATGAGGCTAGAAAGAAATTGTAGGTAGACAATTAGAACAGTGAGGGCAAAGCCTCCATTCCTAGAATTAGACATTAAGCCTTGGGGCTCTTTTCCTCTCCCCTCCTTACACTCATAATTTTTTCCTACTCCTTTTTCTTTGTGGTTTTCCTTGCCACTTAACTACTTTCCTATCTTTTTCAGTTGTTCCATTCCATTGTTACACTTGAATTCTTTTAGAATTCCTTCTCTCTGTCCTTTCTAAATGTCAATATAATAAGTTACAAAAGAAACCGTGTAGAAAAAAACTATAAATATAAAAAGAAGGCTTTGAAAAATTCTATTTGTTGACATGACTACTGTCTACTTTTTTCCTGGCCTGTAACCTCCACATGTCAAAACATTATGCCTATGATAAGAACAGAGAAACTATTTAAAAATACTCAAACCTAATGAATAATTTTGTTGACAATATAGTATGAAAAAGGAAAGAGCAAATTAATACAAAGAGGCTTCATATAATACTATGACATATAGACAATAATTCTTTTAAGTTTTTTTTTAGTAATCTCTATACCCAACGTGGGGCTCGAACTCATGACCCTAAAGAGTCACACACTCCTCCAACTGAGCCAGCCAGGCACCCCTACACAGTAATTCTTAATTCTAATATGAATAAAATCTTTTACCTAAATAACAATTCCCCTCAAACCTAAAAAAAATACATTTTTACCAAAAAGAGATGCAATGTAATTTTGTCTTCATTCTTTGCAACATTTACAGAATTCAAGGAAGCAATTTAATCATTCAACCCTATGAAGACGTTACTTTAAGAAGTCTTTTCCAAAGTTCTTTTCTCTTGAAAATATAAAATAAAATGGTATATAATAATGTATGTCCTGACTGCTGATATGAAAATCTAGCCTGCAGTTAAAATGAGGTCCAAGAAATAGAATCACTTAAAATATTTTAAATGTATGCCATGAGCTACATGCACATTTTTGAGATGTGTCTCTGTCCCATTTTTATATTATTGTTTCTTTTCTTTTTTTTTAAAGATTTTATTTATTTATTTGAGAGAGAGAGAGAGAATGAGAGATACCACAAGAGGGAAGAGGGTCAGAGGGAGAAGCAGACTCCCTGCTGAGCAGGGAGCCCGATGCGGGACTCGATCCTGGAACTCCAGGATCATGACCTGAGCCGAAGGCAGTCGCTTAACCAACTGAGCCACCCAGGCGCCCTATTATTGTTTATTTTCTTCCTCTCTCCAACACTTGGACTGGGATTCTTTCCCTTAGAATATAATTTTAAAACAAAGTCACAATCCTACCTATGGTAAGCATTTGACATTAAATCTTAAGGGCATTAAGTTCACTCTAGAAAAATAAAACTGAAAGAAAAAAACAGTAAATATGATAGAACCTTTTTCTCTTACTATTTTCTAAAAAATATGTAATCATATTAATACCCTTAAGCAAATGATTCCAAGAATATAAAAGAAAAAATTCACACATTTCATAAAAACCATATAAAATACCCATCTTACCGATATCATTAACAAGGGAATTAGAATCAGATGCCCCCAGGGTAGCTTCAAACTCCTCTTGGAGACGATATGCTCTTTGCAGCAGAGCTTCAAGTTTATGGATAAATTCAGTACTAATAATATCCTACAAGGAGAGAAAAAGTACACACAGCAAGTATTAGATTCAAACATTAAAATCCTCAATACCTTTCACTCTTAAATGAAAGGCCAGAGAAAGTGTGGAATGATGCGCAATGACTGTTGGGTGGTTACAGCGCTTGGTTCTAGCTGGGCCTTTGGCCAGGTCACCTCAGTTCTTAGGGATTCAGCTTCTCTATCTGTAAATTTAACGGTGGGACTCGATCAGGTGTTTTCAAAGTAAGATCCCTGACCAGCAGCATCAGTATCATCCGGGAAGTTGCTAGAAACACAAATTCTCAGGGCCTACCCCAGCCTCTGAATTAGAAACCCAAGTCTGTTTTAACAAGCCTTTCAGATGATTCTGATGCACTAGCCAAGATGATCAGTACCAGTCCAGTTCAAACTCTATGTGACTTTTATGAACATAATACCACTTAATTAAACATAAAGTATAAAACAGACTTTTAAAAATTCCTTTAGAAATCATATTAGCTTAATCCTACATATTCTTGGAAAATCAGGGAACTTGATTATGAATTGCAAATTTGGGATTTAATAATTCACGGAACAGAAAAAGCCCAATAAGACATACCCCCACATAATCCCAAGGGAGACAAAAAAAAAAAGAAACAGTTGTATTAAATGCCACAAAAGTACACTGAATCAACATTAAACATTGCTCAATTCTTCCAATATTATAAAGGCCATTCTCAGATAAATCTTACATCTATACTTTCTTCGGCAATGGCATCTCCTGCACCCAATTTAATGGAACTACAGGCTTCATCCTCAGCCTGTCTATTTCGAAAGGTGAGAGCCTGCTCCCATCGACGCAATGCCTCTTCAAACAACTCCATACCTATGAATTAAGAACAGAACAGTTGTAAATAAGAAAAACCAATGCCAAAAGAAAATTATTATGGGCTAGAGTCTTTCTCATATAGTTATCAACAATGGCACAGTCTGACTATAATTTTGGCACTAAAGAATAATTTTATGTTCACCTCATTTCATAACAGAATTATAATTTCCCAATATATTCTAGGTCTATAGTTCTAGTCAACCAAAAATCAGAGAGAAATAACCAATATGCTTTCTTTTTTTTTTTAAGATTTTATTTATTTATTTGAGAGAGAGAGAGATAGCGAGAGCAGGAACACAAGTGGGGGAGGGGGGAGGTGGTGGTGAGAAGCAGGCTTCCTGCTGAGCAGCGAGCCCAATGTGGAGCTCGATTCCAGGACGCTGGGATCATGACCTAAGCCAAAGGCAGATGCTTAACCGGCTGAGCCACCCAGGCACCCCATAGAATAAAGTTTTTCCATCTTTTTTCCCAACAAAAGGTTTCTTAAACTACATGATACCAACTTGTTGATTTGGATGGATAAATTGCTCAGTTAAAAATCTACAAGACTACTGGAAAACCCATCAAGGGTTACAGTTCAAGTAGAAATTCCATATCCCCTCGGCTAGACAGCTTTTATGGGGGGGAAAAAGGTGAGTATGTGCTTCTTTTTCTCCAAGTAAAAAAAAGTCTTACCAAAATAATTATGTACTTCAAACAAAACGAAAATATTTCAAAACTTTAATTTTTCTAGACATATAAAAGAAAAAGATCTTTAAAAGTTGCTTGATTTGGGGGTGACTGGATGGCTCAGTTAGTAAAGCATGCAACTCTTGATCTCAGGGTCATGAGTTCAAACCCCAGGTTGGGCATGGAGCCTACTTAAAATAAAAATAAATAGGGGTGCCTGGGTGGCTCAGTCAGTTAGGCATCTGACTTTTGGTTTCGGCTCAGGTCATGACCTCAGGGTCATGAGATCAAGCCCTGCATCAGTCTCTGCACTTAGTGCAGAGTCTGTTTGAGGTTCTTTCTCCCTCTGCTCTACCCCTCCCACTGCTTTCTCTCTCTCTAAAATAAATAAGTAAATCTTTAAAAAGAAAAAAAAAAAAGAATCAACAAATCAGGTTAGATGAGTGTAGCAGATTGAATAATGGCCACCCAAAGATGTCAGGTCCTAGTCTCTGGAACCTGTAAATGTTACCTTACAAAGAAAAGGGGTCTTTGCAGATGTGATTAAATTAAGGAATTTAACATGGGGAGATTATTCTAGATTATTTGGTGGACCCTAGATCCAATCACAACTGTCCCAGTAAGAAGCAGAGGGAGATTTGGTACACAGAGAGGAGGTGATGATGGAAGGTACAGATTGGAGTCACATGGCCACAAGCCAGAAGCCATCAGAAGCTGGGAAGGGCAAGTAACAGATATTCCCCTAAGCCTCCAGAGGAAGCATAGCTCTAATGATACCTTGCTTCCAGCCCAGTGATGATTTTGGTGTTCTGGCCTCCAAAACTCTGACAGAATACATTTCTGCTGTTTAAATAACCAAGTTTGTGGTAATTTGTTAGAGCATCCTCCAGAAACTAATATAATAGGTTTTGTTATGTACACTAGATTCAACAGATATAAGAAATTTCAAAATTATGTTGCTTTCCTTAAAATAATTCATCATTCTTTAGTTTAAATGTGAGTATATCTTAAAACTTTTTTATGTTATTCCTACCCATCAAGTATAAGTTCTCAGGAGTGGTCACAGGAATATTAACAAGTTTAATATCATCTTCATCTGCTTTGTCCCAGGAGTTAGAATTGCCGCAAGCACAGCTATGACAAGAATTGACACTCTGGACCTAAAATTAAGATCGACAAAAGTTACTTCAAAATCTCTTTTGTGACACTATTTTGCCATCTTTTATATTTTTAAGTTATTTATATAAATCCTATTCCTGGTAAAACAACCCATGTAATTCCTACCTGAAGAAATAAATCTGATTATATTCAGCTAGGAGTCATAAGACCCTAAGAATTTTAAGCCTTTGTTTGCTCAATAATACACAAAGAGTATTTCAAACAAAAATCAGTTATTTCCAAAAAAAGTCAAGCAGTTATTTTTATAGTTTACTGTTTTATTAAGTATTTACTTATAAATTTTATCCACACTTACTTTGGTTTGAGGTAACTAGCTTATTTCCTTTTTAGAATTTATTAACAATGCTGATTCTCTGCTAAACAATAACTAAAATTGAAAAGCCTCTATCATCTTCCCTTCTCTAGCAAGATGCACTGAGCCAATCATTTAGGTCACCTCTATGCAAATGACTACCTAGTCTCTACTTCCAGTTTTGTGTCCTTTTTAAATAAATCTAGGGGCGCCTGGGTGGCTCAGTCAGTTAAATGTCCTACTCGTGATTTCAGCTCAGGTCATGATCTCATGGGTCATGAGATCAAGCCCTGTGTTGGGCTCCATGCTCAGCGGGAAGTCTGCTTGGGATTCTGTCTCTGCCCCTCTCCCCACTCATGGGCGCTCTCTCTTTCTCAAAACAAATAAATAAATCTTTTAAAAAATAAAAATAAAGAAATCTAGCCCTTTTTTCCATCTGATGGAAATATTTGGTGATTCTACTCAGTTCTTCTGCTGACTATATCGAAAAGGAGCTCTGGGGGTGCCTGGGTGGCTCAGATGGTTAAGCAGGATCATGGGATCGAGTCCTGCATTGGGCTCCTTGCTCAGCGGGAAGCCTGCTTCTTCCTCTGCCTGCCGCTCCCCCGCTTGTGCTCTCTCTCTCTCTCTGACAAATAAATAAAATCTAAAAAAAAAAAAAAAGGAGCTCTGTATCTTCCCAAAACAAAAACTTTTCCTCCTCTCAGGTTCACTAATAATACTTCCATCCCCATAATTTCCCAAACTAGAAAACAGAAAGTCATCTTTAACTTCTCTTGCCACACTTCTCATATCCAATTACCAAGTTTTATGGACCCTGTCGCCTCCTTTCCACATCTGTTCCTTGTTTGGGCACTCAGTAAAAGGCAGAAATCTGGGTCCATAGCTCTGGCACTGGAATGATGAGGTCAGCTTAGGCAAGTACAGTAAAGTGATTCTAAAGACTTTCTACTCAAATTTATCATGAAACCCCCTTTCTCTACTTAGTAGTTAAGAAGAACAGCTTCAACTTTCAGTTGAAAAGTTTCAAAACAGAGGCACTTGTCTAACAGATTATAGAGTAAATCCAGATTATAGAATGGGCATATATTTCATTATCCTGCTCAGTTTTAAAGAGGAACTAAAAGCCTGCAGGCCTTTGATCTAGATGTTCCTACCACAGAATAGCCTTTAAAAATTTAGTGTATTTTTAGGCACTTAAGAATGGGGCAGCTATATATTCCAACAAAATATAGAAGGTACAGAATATGGTGTTCAATAATTATTTAAAATAATGAATATACATGATGGTAGAGGCATACCCTCCCAGAAGTATGTATTTAAGAAATTACCAATGTTGTTTGTCTCTAAGGAAGAGAACAAAGAGGATCAGGGACACATTTATCACTATACATTTTTTTTTTTGCCTCAGTAGTAAATGTATATCCTACTTATTTAACAAATTTTTTAACTATATTAAATTTCACCAATACTAACTTTATTTCTCACTTGTCAATCAATACTATATTAATGCTCCAAAGAACAAGGTGAGAAACTCCACATTTGGCTTCAGCAAGCCACACACTTTTACCTACTCAGGCTCATCATTTTGTGACCTAGTACAAAGTCTGGCTGTTATCTTCCAGCTTTTTTGCAGAACATCTAGTTTTAAAGCAATACTTCCACATCAACACTATTCTACAGGATCCTGTGTGTCCACATCACTTACTCAAGAAAGTGGAACCAAACTGGCTGGTTATTCAGCAAAAGGAAAATTTTACTTGCTTTAAGAAAATAGACAAAACCAGATAATTTAAGATTCTTTCCATACTAAGAGCTATCTATAATTATATGACATTTAAACAAATAGATAATAGACACAAAAGTAGATCTATAAAATAATAAATTATTTTCGTTACTTACGGAGGCTAAACTCTGTGCAGAACCTGAGTATTTACTGAAAAGTCCTCCATTAGCATAGTTACAAGACTGAGATCCTTTGTCTTTGGCAGAACTTAAAGATAATGTCAAATTCTGTCTACTACTGGAACAACTTGAACCTACCAAACAAATATATCAATAATATTAGAAGTATTAGTCCAATGATAAATTTCAGGTAAAATCTCAGTAAAATCTCAAAAGTTTACATTATATTCATTCAGAAAGCTTCTAATTTTAAAAGTCACCTCACTCAATTGTGTAAATTATTAAATGTACACCATTATTAAAATCTACATCTCTTCACAACTGCTTTTAACACTGCTAAATTCTGCTTCTTTAAGAATAAAATATTCACCTAATTAATTAGAGCAATATTTGACTGATCTATTGTAATCAGTATAAAAATACTGGCAACTAGGGGTGCCTGCCTGGCTCAGTTAGTGGAGCATGTAACTCTTGATCTTGGGTTTATGAGTTCAAGTTCCATGTTGGGTGCAGAGATTAATTAAAAATAAAATCTTAAAAAAAAATACTGGCAACTATGGACCTTCAAGTTATAAATTTAACAAAATAGGGGCGCCTGGGTGGCTCAGTCATTAGGTGTCTGCCTTCGGCTCAGGTCATGATCCTGGGGTCCTGGGATCGAGCCCCGCATCTGGCTCCCTGCTCAGCGGGAGGCCTGCTTCTCCCTCTGCCTCTCCCTCTGCTTCTGTTCCCTCTCTTGCTGTGTCTCTCTGTCAAATAAATAAATAAAATCTTTAAAAAATAAAAAAAATAGGGCGCCTGGGTGGCTCAGTTGGTTAAACAACTGCCTTCGGCTCAGGTCATGATCCTGGAGTCCCGGGATCGAGTCCCATATCAGGCTCCCTGCTCGGCGGGGAGTCTGCTTCTCCCTCTGACCCTCTTCCCTCTTGTGCTCTCTGTCTCTCATTCTCTCTCTCTCAAATAAATAAATAAAATCTTTAAAAAAAAATAAAAACAAAAAATAAATAAATAAATTTAACAAAATATAAGCACTTCCTTTCCTGAGAATTAAATTACACATTACAATTAGTTTTTATAGTTCTGTCTCCCCTAACCATCTATCTATTAAACTATGGCAGACGCTGTGTCTGTCTTAGTTCATCTTAATGCAACAGTTAAGACACTCCTCATTTCCTGGAATTATATGACCCTGAGCAGGTCACTTAAGTTCTCCTTATCTCAGTTTTCTTTATGTTTAAACACTAATACAGGATGTAGTCCTAATTCATAGGATTGCTAAAGGTAAAATAATGAAGTGAATACACAGCATTTAGTACTACACCTGAGATCTAATAAAATCTCATTAAGTGAGAGCCATCATTACTGTAATGTTCACTGTACTTGGCACAAAATAGTCATTCATTGATTATTTACTAGATAAATTAATCACAAAAGCACATGATTCTTGGGGGCACCTGGGGGGCTCAGTCATTAAGTGTCTGCCTTCAGCTCAGGTCATGATCCCAGGGTCCTGGGATCGAGCCCCGCATCAGGCTCCCTGCTCAGCCGGGAGTCTGCTTCTCCCTCTCCCGCTCCCCCTGCTTGTGTTCCCTCTCTCGCTGTGTCTCTCTCTGTCAAATAAATAAAATCTTAAAAAAAAAATTTTTTTTAAAAAGCATGTGATCCTCTAATAAATTAAAAATAATTAAAAATTAAAAAAAAAGAAATTCAGCATGCTCAAGAAATTATTGTTATTAATACACTTTGGCAGTATGTACTGTATCTCTAACAAAAACTATGGATCTTTTAAAGACCAGCAATTCTACTTCTACTTATATACTAAGATAATAATCAGACAAGTATATGCAAAGCAAAAAACACATTCTAAAGGGAACAAGAGGGAACTGCTTAAATAAATTGGTGTATATATTTACAAATTTAACACTAGGTACATATTAAAAATAATAGCATAGAAATACATTTGTTGACCTAGAAAAACATTCTTACATATTATCAAATATTTTACAAGCAGGCTACAAAGGTATAATCATAATTTTACTATATACCATTTATTTGTACATAATATAGAATTTTATGTCTCAATATATTTAAATGCAAATAGAAATGGATATATGCCATAGTATTATCAGTCATTACTTCTGGGTAGCAGAACATCAGGTGATTTTAATTTTTTGTTTGCTTATCTGTATGTTCTAATCTTTCTAAAATGAATCTGTATTATCTGTGAGTTAAATATTAAGGAAAGGAATTTCAGAGACTAACAGACTGAAATCACTCCAGTTATGATTTATATATAAAATTTCCTTTGTAGACTTAATTCAGCTATCTCCACATACCTTTGTCTGATGCTGCTCTTTTAGTGTATTCAAGTACAAGGTGCTCTGGTTCCCATGGTAGTATTTTTCCTTTCTTCTTTCCACGTCTTCTTTTAAAGTGATGGGCCAGAAAAATTACAGATACAGCACTCACTGCAGTTACCACAAACAACTTTTTTGCTACTGGTGAAAATTTTATCTGGAAAAGATGCAGGTAGACTGAAAAAAGCTTCTTATATTTGTTCACTTAAAATAAAGATGTAAGAACAAAACTTATTCTTAAGCTAAAAGTGAATACTCTATTAGTACTAGTTCTAAGTACTACCGAGAGAATATTATATCACACTCTTTAAATGACAGCTAGCCCAACCTGAATTTTAAAAACAACCAAAATGTATTATTTATTACTTTCTGAAGTTCTTAGGTAAACAATATTACCACAAAAGTCAAAAGGAACACAAAATGATTCAACCCCATTAAAACCTATTGAACTAATGATTTTCCTGCAACTAAATGTCTGAATCATTGCAAGATTTTAAATTACAGGAATAATTAATTCAGAGTTTTGCTTTGTTTTGTTTTTGTTTTTTGAGTAGGCTCCATGCCCAGCATAGGGCCCAACGTGGGGCTTGAACTCACAACCCTGAAATCAAGAACTGAGCTGAGATCAAGAGTCAGACGCTTAACCAACTGAGCCACCCAGGCACCCCTAATTCAGAGTTTTAAAACAAACCAACTTTTTTTTTAAACTATCTGGAAATCTGGACAAACATGAATTAACTCAATTTCTTTTTTTTAAGATTTATTTTATTTATTCATTTGAGAGAGACTGTGCCACCCAGGAGCCCCAAATTAACTCAATTTCTAAATGCTATCTGAATAAGCCCTTTTATGCATGAATTATTCAACAAATATTTACTCAGCATTTTACAATGTACCACACTGTGCTATGAAAATTAAAATTAAAATCTTACTGCAATTTTCTTCAACAAGCAAATATCAATGCCTTTCAATGATCAGGAAGCACTAGGTATAGAGGACACACATCTTGCCTCCTTCAAGCAGGGTGCTAATAGTAGAGACAAATATATTCACAGATAATTACAGTACAGTGTGATAAATACAGTAGTATAAGTATACACTAAGTATCAACATCAGAGCAAGAGGTAATTAACTTTGTCTTAGGGGACAGACACTATCAACAGTAAAAAATACAGGAGAGCAATAAAATAAAGCCATAGTCTTGAGGTGTAGAGCACTGGAAAGAGTGTCACTTCCAAACTCACAATAACAAAAAAGCCAGACAAATGGCAAGTTTTCATTTTTTCTTGGACCCATCACAATGCTGAGGTCAAAGGGCAATCAACTGGCCCTAAAGAGACACAGGTATCTCTGAGATAAGACATAAGCTCTGGCATGCAGAGATAAAACACAGCAGGACATCAGTAAAATGAGTTCAGCTAGTTTGCCTGGTAAATTGGTAAAGACAGTGTGCACTGGTGAGAGAGGATAAAGTACCCCTGGGGAGCAGGGGGGATGCTGCAAAGATAGGGGTAATCCATACTTTTTGCAGGTTTTATCTTCATAAAGCCCATCAGGCTCTACTCACAGAAAAGACTGCTAGAGCCCTAAGTCTCCCTAATGGTGTAGAACTGGAAGGAAACAGGAGTTTTTGTGGAGGGGCATGAACTGCATCAATACCCTTCTCTATACCTTCCAAAGAACAAAACACTTAATCTGTGGGATGCAGCTTCAATTTCCAAAGGAAATTTATACCATTAAATGCTTATATTAAAGAAGAAAGATATCAAATCCATAATCTGAGTTTTTGCCTTAAGAAACTAGAAAAAAGAACAAATTCAATCCAAAGCAAGCAGAAGACAGGAAGTAATAAAGACTAAACAGAAATCAATGAAATAGAAAGACAAATCAATAAAAACAAAAGTGTTTAAAAAAACCAATAGGTTCACTCCCAATAGGTTTCAGGGGGAAAAAATAAAACTGACAAAGCTCTAACCGGTCTGATCAAAAACAAACAAACAGAGAGAGAGAGAGAGAGGGAGAGAGAAAAGACACATATTGCCAAAATCAGAAATAAAAGAGGTGTCATCACTAAAGACCTTACAGATATGAAAAGGATTACTATAAACAACTCTATGCCCATAAATTCAACAATTTTAGATGAAATGGACCAATTTCTTGAAAAACAGAAACTATCAAAATTCACTCAGGAAGAAATAGATAGCAAAGAAACTGAATATGTAGTTAAATAAAACCTTTTAACAAATGATACGGCAAATTCTACTAAGTATTTAAGAAAGAAATATCAATTCCATTCAATGAGGGAATACTTCCCATTTTTTGAAGCCAGCATTATTATTAATATCAAAACCAAGGACATTACAAAAAAATTATGGGATAGTATCTATAATGTTGATTTTATAAAAAATCCTTCACAAAATATTAACATATCGAATCCAGTGATATATAAAATGAATACTATAGATGATCTAGTAGTGTACATCCTAGGAATGCAAATCTGGTTCAACATTCAAAAATCAATCAATGTAACTTACCATAATAACAAACCAAGAAGAAACACCATAATATAATCTCAATAAATTCAAAAAGAACATTTGAAAATATTCAACATCCACTCATGGTTTTTAAAAAACTCAGCAAATTAGGACTAGAAGGTGTGTGGCTTAACTAGTGTCCCCCCAATATTCACATTTACCTTGAATAACAGATTATAATCTTATTTAAAAAGAAAATCTTTGTCCATGTAATTAAGGTAAGAATCAAGATGACACCACATTGTTTTAGGGTGGACCCTAAATCAAATGAGTGTCCTTATAAGGGATTAAAGGACACATAGAGACACAAAAGATAAAGCCATGTGAAGAGGGAGGCAGAGATTACAGTTATGCTGCCACAGCCAAGGAATGCCTGAAGCTACCAGAACCAACATCATATTAAAAGTGGCAGCCAAGGGGCACCTGGGTGGCTCAGTTGTTAGGCGTCTGCCTTCAGCTCGGGTCGTGATCCCAGGGTCCTGGGATCGAGCCCCGCATCGGGCTCCCTGCTCGGCAGGAGGCCTGCTTCTCCCTCTCCCACTTCCCCTGCTAGTGTTCTCTCTCTCGCTGTCTCTCTCTCTGTCAAATAAATAAAATCTTAAAAAAAAAAAGTGCCAGCCAATATAAAAAGCCAAGAAAAAAGAATAAAAGGAATACACATTGGAAAGGAAGAAGTAAAACTCTGTATTTGCAGACAATTTTGATTGTCTACATGGAAAATCCCAAAAAATCTACCTAAAAATCTCCTAGAACTGATAGATAAATAGGCTACAAAGTCAATAACAGCAATAAGCAACTGGAAATGAAATTTAAAAAGCAATACCATTTATAATAGCACCTAGTAAAAGAAAAAGAAAAAAATACTTAGCAATAAATCTAAAAAAAAATCAGTGCTAGTTAACAACAAAACACTGATGAAAGAAATCAACAAAGATAAAAGGAGAGATACATCATGTTCATGGATTATAAAATGTTGTTTCTCTTCATAATGATGTACAAAAACCAAAATAACCCTAATCAAAATTCCAGCAAAAAATTTTTTTAAAGATTTTATTTATTTGTTTGCGGGGGGGAGCACGAGCAGGGAGGAGGGGCTGAGTGGGAGGGAGAAACAGACTCCCTGCTGAGCAGGGAGCTTGAAGCGGGGCTCGATCCCAGGACCCCGAGATCATGACCTGAGCCAAAGGCAGATGCTTAACCAACCCAGGCACCCCCCAGCAAAAATTTTTGTAGGTATTGGTAGCTTATTATTAAAAAAAAAAAAAATTAAGGAAAGGCAAAGGAACTAAAATAACCAAAATAACTCTGAAAAAGAGGAAGTTGGAGAACTTACTCTAGCCAATTTCAAAATTAACTATAAAGCTACAGTAATTAAAACAGTGTGGTATTGACAAAACAAAAGGCATATAGATCAATGCAACAGAACAGAATTCAGAAATAAACCTGTACAAATACAGTCAACCTATTTTTGTCAAAAGTAAATTCAAGGAAGAAATATCTTTTTTTAAAGATTTTATTTATTTGTCAGAGAGAGAGAGAGAACAAGCAGGGGGAGCAGAAGGCAGAGCAGGCAGAGGGAGAAGCAGGCTCCCCAACAAGCAAGGAGCCCCGATGCAGGGCTCGATCCCAGGACCCTGGAATCACGACCCGAGCTGAAGGCAGACGCTTAACCGACTCAGCCACCCAGGTATCTCTCAAGGAAGAAATTTCTTGAAGAAAACATAGAAAATCTATGTAGTCTAGAAATCCACCAAGACCTACAAACGTCCCTCCACAGATAAATGGATAAACTGGTACACCCATACAATGGAATGAATACTCAGCAATGAAAAAGGTCATAATATTCAGACACACAACAATGTGAATGAATCTCAAATGCATTATGTTAAGTGAAAAAAGCCAATTCCAAAAGACTATATACTATATAATTTCACACTACATACAATAATTCACTCATGGATCATAAACTAAAACTCCAAGAATATAAAATCTAAAACTATAAAAGTTCTAGAAAAAAGCATACGAAAAAATCTTTGTGACCTTTGGTTAGGCAAATATTTCTTAGAGATGACACCAAGAACCTGATCCATTAAAAAAAAAAGAAAAAAGTTGACAAATGGACTTCAGAATTCAAAACTTCTGCTCTTTAAAAGGCATTGCTTAGGGGTGCCTGGGTGGCTCAGTCAGTTAGGCCTCTGGCTCCTGATTTCAGCTCAGGTCATGATTTCAAGGGTCATGGGATCAAGCCTGCACTGGGTTCTGCACTCAGTAGGCAGTCTGTTTGAGATTCTTTCTCTCCCTTCCTTCTGCCCTGTCTCCTGCTCGCACAGCTCTCTCTCTAAAATAAATGTTTAAAAACATCCATCCATACATAAATAGCACTTTCCAGAAGTTGAAAAGACAATCTACAGACTAGAATAGTTACAAATGATAGATCTGATAAAGGAATCGTACCCAAGGTATATAAGAAATTCTCAAAACAACCCAATTAAAAAATGGGCAAAAGCTTTGAATAGACACATCAGCAAAGATTTACGGATGGCATATAAGCATATGAAAGCATGTTCAGGGGCGCCTGAGTGGCTCAGTCGTTAAGCGGCTGCCTTCGGCTCAGGTCATGATC